ACCGCAGCTTTACAAATGGAGGCGTTTAAAGGGCCAATTAATCTCTTTAAGTCCGCGTGCCCGATGCAAATAAGCCCCGGTGATAAATTCTCTAGGGGTGTAGTTGCCAGTTGGACGGCAAAAAAACAAACTTTAATTATTCATCTCACACCCCCGCCCTGCTCAGCTCTTTTCCTACAGCATTAACACAATGAAACTGGCAAGGCGCACATAACGAAATAAAGAACCTGCGGGCTTATTTTTTTTGCGAGGAGCCCAAAAACTTTAGCTGGGCTTGGCAAGTTTTTCTCCATATTTCTGTCAGCACACTGCGTTAATCAACAGCGTATGCTATTTTACACTCTGCTAATTTCGTAAATTGGATTTCACGTGATATACAGCACATTTTAACATGGAGAAATTTATATTAAGTTTAATGTTTTCTACAAGTTAAATGTACTTGGAAAAATAAATTTATAAATTTCTTTTTCCAAGAACATTTTATATTAAAACACTCTCTGCAAAAAGTGTCCTCTAAAAACTTTTTACTGTCACCTGCTCTACCCTAACACAATCCTCCTGAAGTGTTTTGCATCCATTTAAAAATTAAGACCGCGACTTAAATCTCGCCTCAGGCAAACTCCTTAATTTCAAAGTGCCGCGGTTCCTTAGTGCAGAAGCTTTTAACTAATTGCAGTCTTCCTTCGCCGCGCACCTGTTAGTCGCGGGAGAACTTGACACGTCTATCGCCGGTGCCCCTACTTGTTTTCACCTCGGGGCTGTCTTTTTCAATTTTCTGCACCAATTTCTATCTCCGAGTCCCCTTCTCGGAATAAATAAGTATACACGCCCCGGTGAAAACTTGTAATTAGAAAGAGCACGTCGACAAAATTTAATAACTCACTCGCTGCGTCAAAATTTTGCGTATAATCTCTTACTTCTTGTGTTTATATTTATACTTACTTTAAAAGAATCTCTTGTTTTTCTTTAAGAGCGGAAAAGTTATTCTTGTCTCACGCTTCATGAAATTTCCCATTCTTGACCATGCAGTGAAGAAACGGATGCCGGGCGCCTCCGCTCGGAGCCGTTGCTTTCCATTACCCGAGATTAAAATTCACTCAGACGTTATGAATCGAGAGAGATGGAAACAATTTCACATTTCGTAATCGGCGTTGCTGCTGCTACTGGGGCGGGAGGAGATTTGAAATGAAGCATGAGAAAAGGCAATAAAGTGCGACGACACTCTGGGCACGAAGTAAGTAGAAAGTAGAACCATCGAGCGGGGAGACAGTCAGAAAGAGCAGAGAGGAGGGCTAATCATTCTAATTGAGTGCCTGCCCGTTGCCTACCAGCTGAGAGTATGATTTATAAACGCGCGCACCCGTCACACCATGGACCCCATTCATCGCAATACATAAATACATACATACAGCAAGTCCCTGCTCATTACGCTTGTACGTGTTCGAGATCAATTTTTGTTTGTTACAAACCATATGCTCAAATTTGTCACGAACCAGCAGAGATTCATAGCATGCTTTCCCTTTTTCAATTGTATATGATAAGAGCAAAAAGAGAATTGAATAATAATCATAAAACTAATTTATGAAATTTTAGTAAAAAAGTGAACATATTAAAAGGAAGTTAAACAACAGTAATTATTTATAATTAATTTTCAACATCATGGACAATTTTTAATGGTGTTTATTCATTATTAAACTAAAATAAAAATAATTTATTAGACAACTACATATTTCTTTTCAATCATAAAAAAAATCATACATTAAAATAGTTACATTTAAATTTCATTTATTTACATGTTATGTTATTATGCTTTATTATTATTTTTATTATCCTTGTAAATTAGTTATAATACATAGCTGCAACATTAATGTAGGTTCATTGAATAAAAAATTGATTCTCTTTCTGTTCTCTCTGTCTGATTTTGATAGTTGATTAAAAAGTTTTCAATAATATGGCGGAATACTCCATAAACCATTATTTGAAGAAAATATTTAATTTCAAAAGTTTCCTAAAACATTTTTGTGTGTACACTGAAATATGCTAGCTCTTTTGTATCAATGACCGTGTTACCAAAATTTTCTTCTTTTGCTCGGTTCTACTGAAAATTTGTATCACTTCATATCACTTTATAGGAAAGTTATGCAAATTAAATGTTTTTGTTTTTACAAGAGGTGAATGTGTTTATTGTCACAGGCGACAATTTGAATTCACAGTGCGTCGTTTGCGATAAATCTCAATTTATCAACAAGAAAGGGAAAATAAATCTACAAATTAGTTTAATGCACCACCCCCACCGCCGAAATAGAGCGAGTGCTAGGCAGATTTATCACTAGCAGTGCAACTCTGCGAGAGCGGCCCCCAGCGCAATGTTCCCGTTGAGGAAAGTGGCGTCGCTCTGATTTCGCAATGTGCATTTATTTGTAACAGAGCCGTGCACAGTGCGTACATAACACAAACTACACGCGCCCCAACCCATGGACCAGACTGACTGAGTAATGGAGCAGAAATCCAAAGACGTACGCACCACTTCTTGGGCCTGCCCCAGGGCTTGCCTAGTTCCACGTCGGCCTTTTCCTCTTCTTTTCTTTTCGTTCCACCAAGATAGAGACAGTTCTTATGGTGAATGGTTAAAGGAACGTCTATTGTGTTGAATTAAAAAAAAAATACAATATGTTTTTAAAATTTAGCATTAAAAATAATTTTCAACTTGATTTTCTGTGGGGTTAAGCATAAATTTTAAACTTCTAAATAATAATTTTTTTGAATCAATCTTCAAATAATAAATTAATAATTTAGGACTTGGGACTTTTCAAAATATAATTTTTATAAAAATTTAATTTTTAACAGAGAGTTTGCAAAAAAAATTAATTCAAATCAGCAACAAATTTGAGTAAAACTGGAAATTTGATGACCATTTTGGTGAATGAATGAAATAGGCCGATATTTTGCGTTGATGCTGGAGGGACGAACAGGGGTGCTTGTACCAGACAAACAATAAGGGCCAGATATAGATGGATGTTCGCTCTTTCTCGCTGGCACACAAATATGATCCTCACCCAGTCGACTGGAATAAAAATTAAAACTCAAAAAGTCCCCCTCGGCCATGGAAGCGGCGCAAGGGGGTGACTTCTGCGCGTCCGTTCGGGGAACGCCGCACGCGTTCCTCATTTCCTGCGTGCCCAATAAAAAAGTTTCTTTCCCTTTTTGCGACCCGGCTCTTTATTTGATTGATATATTATCTTCTAGCCTTTTTATATACGGTGGAATGATATTTCCATCTTCTATGCTGCTGGGCGAAGACCAATTGAATTTGCAGGCCACGACACCAAAATAGTTCTCCAGAGCCGACTTGCATGGCAAATATCTGCCCTTTCAGCGCTTTACGAGAGAGCTTTACACGTCTTTACTCCGAACAGCGCGCACGTGTGTGTATTTTCCGGCTTGGGCAAACGCTAGGCGGAAAGTGTTGTTGGGAAAGTTTTGCTTGTCGAGGATTTCCCAGAGAGCGATTCATTGTACTTGCAAGAATCTTCTTATTCATTTTATTCTTTTAGGAATTTTTACGTTGATACAAACAGAGGTAATTTAAATCTCCTCAATTAAAACTATCTTTTGTTGGGATGTAGATAATACAATTAAACAAGAGAAGAAATATGGGAGTTTGAAAAAAAATGTCATTTTGAAAATTAGTGCCTAGCAATGGTGGTGTAGAATTTGAATGCATTAAATGATTTTAGTCATATAGTATTTCCACAAGGCTTTCAAGTTTTTCATACTATAAAAAAGATGGATAAATTAATTTTTGAATTGTTAAAATTTTGAAATTTTTAAAAATTAATTGTTTTAGTAGATTTAAAAAAATCTTTTATTGATTCAAAAAAAGCGTATTAATTGAACATAACAAAGAATTATTTTAAAAAAAATATTGTGTTTAATTTAGCTTTGCATTTAACAGTGTAAAGGAAAAAGACTGTTATTGGTTTCACAATTGAATTTTTACCTTTCTCAAGAGAGTATCGCCACAAACAACTACACAAATTTGTCGCTACTACTGTGCGACTTCTATCAAAAGCTCATCATGAAACACAGACGACAGACGTAAACAACTAAAGCCCAACACGGCTGTACTGAAATGCTTTTAAACGCTCACCCCGATAAAAATACCATTCCATTCCAATTTCCACTTAAGCCCCTAAAACTTCATTGTACTGCGAGACGGAAATAAGTATATGCACAAAAAAAGGAAGGTGGATTCTAATAATGTTTTATAATATTTATAGGTTCCATTGTTAATTTTTAATCCAGTTATTTATTTATAATCTAATCAGGAATAAGATGGAAGGGTTTTGTTGCGAGTGAAAATGATTAATTATTATAATATAATACATAATTATAATACTTTGTTAAACAAAATCTGTTTGCTATAGTAATATTATGTATTACTTCTTTATTCATGTCATGACTAAGTAATTAAATTATGGAAAAAAATGAGAAGAAAAATTATCACGATTGTACTGTAACAATGTGGAAAAATAAACAACAATAATAACTACAAACATTTTTTCGCATTTTGTTGAAAATTTCTATTCTTGGTACAATAATTTAATTACCATAATAAGAGAACTATAGCTTTGTTAAATACTAAATGCATTTTATATAAAATCCATGATTATTTTTCGAATTTTGGTACTTTAAAATCCAGGAACTTTATGCTTGGTATAATATAAAGCAATAAATTTGTGCTCGTCATTTCAGCAACTAAAATCCATAAACCGAAAAAAAAGTCCAGCAAACAAACAGAGTCGAATGAGGCTGTTGACGAGTCGCATTCGTTCCATGCGACACGACAATTCAATTAAACATTGTCTAGCGGTGACGTCACTAGGTGCTCAATTATCTTATTTACTTGTCGGCGCCGGCAGCGAGCGAGCGAGGCATCAGCATGTGTGCGACTGCAGCGCCACCTCGGTGGTGCCATTTTGGCCCGTTGGTTTCTCCAGGCGGCCAACGAGAAGAGTGAGTGTAGTGCCGCTCTCTCCGCCGAACACATCGTACCATCGCCTCTGCCGCAGCCGCGGGACGACCTGTTCGAGTGGCGCGCGCCCCGAAGTCAACCAAACACCCTGTTCAGGGCCACCTTCGGCCTGACCACGGCAGTTTCGCCGAAAGGACTTTCCCTGCCGAATCTCGACAAATTTCATTCGCTGAAAATGCGGGAACTTCACTTTTTCGTCTGCTTTCTTCTGCTGATTTCAACAAAAGGTTTGAATTTTTTCATTTTAATTTTTTATTTTTTATTTTACTATAATATTTTTCCTGTTTATTTTAATGATTATTAGACAATTTTTCTTTGCTTGTCTGACGAGTTTTGTGTTTTATCTAACGGAGATAAGGTGCACGTCTGTTGACTCTGACTCTATTGCGTGTCGCGCGCTCTTCACTCAAAAACTCGTTGGATTTTTCGCTTTTCCTTTAGTTAGTCACTCGATCAGGAGAAGCCGAGCTTGAAATTAAGCAAACTCGATTCGTAATTGACCGATTTATCCGCGCAAATGGAGCGTTGGAAGTGACACTTTGACGAATCGTCCACGCCTTAATTTTTCCCAACGGCAATCGCGCGTCATGAATCACTCGCAGCGCATTGCGAAATTCGCACGATCGCGAGAGGAAAATCCGCGGGTTTTGCGTGAGAGCTTCCGATCGCCCGCGGCCCAAAGCCGCCGGAATGTCGTGACTTTTGGAGCTTTTTTCGTCCAATTCAAATCGACAATAACAAAAAGCGAGAGAGAGGAAGCAGCGAGAGCGAGTTTCTCCCCCACCTGCCTTTCGTTTCCCACCTGACGCATTGAACAGACTGGCTGCTCTTACCTGAGCTCAGGTGAAGGCCATCTAGTATGGTAAAAATAAATGACGCGCCGCGTTCACGATGTAATTGCGGATGGCGGGCACTTAAATTTATTACGGCCCAGACTCTTCTGCTCGCTCAAGTATTGCAAAATTTACTTGCAGTCGGAAATAATTTCACAATATATCATTTTTTTCATTTTTATAAATAAATAAATTATGTACACACAAAATAATAATAATTTGAAAGTTTACAATTGTTAAAATTATTTATTGTTGTTTATTTGACTATATTTTAATACAGATTTTCTACAGAGAGAAAAAAATAAAAATTTTGACATTATCATGAATAATAGCAGAAGAATAGTGCTAAATCTAATGAAATTATTTAAACTCTTTTAAGTTAACTTATCTTAAAATTTATTTACGATTAAGTTGAAATAATTCTTTTAATTGTTAGAATAAAATTGCAATTGTTCTGACCATAAATACATATTAAAAAGCACAAGTTTACAACTTTTGAGCTTTACAAAACAGTCTTAATTTTGCTGCCTGAATGTTATGTACATTTTTATTTGTTTATTTTCTCCTTTCTCAAAATATTGACAAGCCCTATTTCAGACGGTATTATCTGCAAACGTTATAGTATTTAAAAGTGTATAGCATAAAATATAGCAAAAGCCGGCGGGGCTTGTTTCATTTGGATCGTTTCCAACTCTTCGACCGCCACGCCGGGCTGTTTGCCCTTTTTCCAGCAGCAGCATCCGAGCACAGCACAGAGTAGCAGCTTTTATAAAGCCCGCAGTTTGCCAAACTCATTTGCAATTCGCCAATAATTGCTGGAATTACCATCGAAAGCGGCCGTAAATTCTCTCGCAGCTCTTTTTCCATGCTGCGAATAATCAAACTTGAGGAGTACGAAGGCGTTATTCAAAACACGAGTGAAATTTATCGAAAATTTTCTCTAAACGGTACATAAAACTCTATCAGATGGTTAAATTTTTTTCACGCTCGCCTCTGTTTTTTGCATCTTTCTTCCCGTGAGAATTTGGTATGCATGCAAATGATTGCTTCTTGAGGTTGTTGTCGCCGTCGAGCACTTTTGGCAATCGACGAAAAACTTATTTCTGATCGACATGTGCAGGCGTGAAAATTTCCAGCGCTCTCGAAAACAGCCGTAAATCACGCTCGAGCGGCGTCACGTAGAAAATAAAACACAGGAAAACGGCGGAGAGCAGGCGTGAGAGAATCAGCAGCAATTGCGAAGGTTCAATAGCCGCGAGCTGCCGAATCTCGGTGCTTTATTGTTGCACTATGGTGTAACGCGCAAGCACAAAGTTGCCTCTTCCTGTAAACGAGGAAGTTGATGAATGAGTTTTAGCGCACTATTTACGCAAATTGGGTTTAACCGTTGAAAAGTTACACGATAGATAAATGATCCACAAGCCCTTTTATTCTAATAAATCTATTTTTTGCTCCATTTGATTGGAATTGTAAGCAAATAAGCTATAAATTTACATTTCCCCCCCTCAAAGTTAATGAAGAATTGATTAAATTTAATTGGTACCTAAGACGTCAAATTAGTTACAATTTCTAAAGCAGTAAATGCACTAATGAAAAAATAATATTTAACATTTATTGTGAGGATTGCCTCAAAACGATATTGATAACTAAAAAATTTAAATTACTTATCAAGAAAAACTAGAGAGTCTAATAATATAACTTAAAATAATTTTTATCATTAATTTAAAAAAGTATTAAAAATAATCATCAATTACTCAAAAATAAAGTAAAAGTAAGAAAATACACAATGATTTTCTAATTCTATTAGAAATATAATCAAAATATAGGTTTTTTTATTATTAATTATAAAATTATTCTAATATTAACTAAATAAACAATGGCATAACTTCTTCCACTTGATTCCAAGATTAATTTAATGACGTTGGGGCGCCAAACGAGAATTTCATTTGCTTTTGGCGGCCGCAAAAAGAATCGCGTCGCAAAATAATTATGGTAATGAGTTTGTTTTGCCTACTGCCGCTGCAGCCTCGTTAGTCAAAAGACTGCTGAGTCCACAAGCGGAGCGAAAAAATCCGTCACAGGCCTGTTTTTGTTTTTATCAACGTCTCGTCTCGTTGTCGCTTTAAAGCCGACCTCAACCGTATACGTTCATATACGCTCGATCATTAGGAGATTGCCAGCATGGCCAAAGCAAATTTAATTTGGAGAGGCGCCTCTCAGCTTTTCCTCCATTTGGCACAAACATCAAACAAGCCGCGGCAAAAGAATTTTTTCGGGCGTCTCCAAGTCATCAGAGATGCGAATGGTGCAGAAGTTCAATTCCATTCGGGTGTTGCTTTTTATTAAAAAAAAGAGAGAAAAACCTTCGACCTAGGTGAGATCAAAAGCACTCGAGTTGATTTTTATTGGGGAACGGGCCCGGCGTGGACAGATGTTGTGCGGGACGGTATATATTCCTGTATTAGGGGCCGAGGGGAGAAAAATTGCGGCCGGTGCTCTTCTCGGTGGCCCCTGACATGAATCATGCATTTTGCGCCCGCCATTTTTCACCAGCCACCGGCTCCAGACTAAATAATCCTTCATCAAAGTGACGCCCGAAATAATAAATCCAGCCGCCTGGAAATGGACGCCGCATGCTCTATAATGCAGAGAGAGCGGCAATAAGGTCATTAAAAAGTTTCAAAGAACGCTGGTGCTTAAAAGTTTACACTGTAAGCAAAATATTTTCATTTGTGGTTGACACAAAATTTATGGAAGTCAATTTATAAGGTGCAATATTGCGAATTCAAGTTTTTTTTATTGAAAATAATATTTAAATAGGCCATTAATAAATAATAGCTTATCAATAATTAAATGAAATTCCACCTATACCTGTTAGTATATCTAATTATTTTAGTTTGTTTGTTTCTTACAAGCATTTAGCGTTTTATTATTTAAATCAGTTTTTTATTATCTTTGTTTACGTTTACATTAAAAAATGTAGTTTTAATGAAAATGAAATTTCAGAGAAATAAATGTCACAAAATTGTCTTTGAATGAAAAAAAGATTTATTTAAATAGTTTTTCCAATTAAAAATTTGACACTCCTCCTTATCCCATGGACTTAATTACTTGTCGATGCATAATAAGTAATGGTTACTGCAAATTTTTTGGAATACCCTTGCATATATTTGGTGGAAGTTTCCTTGAAAGTCGGAAAACCTGGCCCATGAGTCACAGCTGTTGGAAAGCATCCAAACCTGAGGTCGTAAATAGTGAAAAAAGCGAATGGAATCCTCGCCAGCATAGCGCGAGCGGGCGAAATACGTGCAATTTCCCAACATCAGCAACGTGGTGGCAGCGAAGGGTGCACACATATGAAAAAAGGGGTTGACGTTTTCTAGTTTGTAAGTATGATTTATTGGAAATAATAAACATTCGCGTCGGCCGAGTTATAAAAATATTATACACACAAAAAATTAATAATAAAAAAAGGAAGCGACCCTTTATCGCCCATCCGAGTAATAAAACGGTGCAATTTTCCAACCGCGCCGCCATTTGCCATGAAGGTCCTTTCATTATTTGTGTGTTTGCTCAGCGGCAGGTAAAAACGAACACTATACAGGCGGACAAATTTCATTGCGATAATTGGTCGCGGTGTCCTTTGTCATGCAAATTAATTGCGTCCCCTATTGAAAAACGCATACATACTTTCGGCTCATTTATCTGACTGCAAACAGACCCGCCGGAGGATGATTCGATAAGGAGTCGCGCCGGCGGGAGAGAAATTAAAAGAAAACACGGCCACATGAAAGGGTTGGCCTCTCTTATGCAACTAGAGCTTTTGGTTTCGCCTTTCACTGCAGATATGGTGCGGAACAAAGCTGGTGGATTGTCAGAAGCGTGCGTCGGTTTGATTTAATGAAATAAACGCCATCATTTGTGCGTCAAATTCAGAAGTCGTTGGTAAGCTGTTTTTGCATCTACTTTATAAGTCTAAAATTTAAATAAAGATTTAACCAAGCTTTTATCAAAAGAAATTAGTTAATTGAAAAACAATAAAATTTTCTTAAAATTCACAATCACTAGAAAAATTATTAGATTTTAAAATCAACACAAATGACCATGGAAAAGGCTATTTAATTTTGATTATTACAAATTTCAATTAATTTTTCTTAAATAAAAATAATTTTAAATCACAGTACACTATGAATTTTTTAATTGTAACTCCATTTATACTCAGTTATCCAATAAATTATTTGTTTCCAAAGTTCCCAACTCAACATGATTGCTCTTCATGATAAAATTTATGCTATTAAACTTTATTGTTTTTATTTAATCAGTTTTTTTTTAAATTTATTAAATAAAAAATTTCCTTTGCAACTAAATAAAATTTCTTGTTGTTAAACCTCATT